ACCCTCATTTACATCCTCGTCCTTTCCTTCCATATTCCCCCCCCCCCCCCCCTCTTTCTCCCTAATATTTTCTCCTTCCCAACTCCATCACTTCTCCCTCACTCTGTCTTTTCTTGGTCTTCACCCTCATAGTCTCATTTTTCCCTTTTACCTCTACTTTTCCTTTTCCCCTCTCCCTCTCTCCCCCCGCTTTTCCCTTCCCCTTTCCCCCTCCCTCCCCCCGCTTTTTCCGCACCATCCTCTCCCTCCTTTCCCTCCTCTTCTCTTTTTTTTTCCCTATCAACCTTTCCTTCCTTTCCCTCCTCTGCCTCTTTTCCCTTCCCCTTCCCCATTTCCCCCTTTCCACTCTTCCCCTCCCTCTCTCCCTCCTTTCTCCTCCTTCTTCCTCCCTCGTCCCTTTCCCTCTCTCCCTCTCGCCCTTCCCCTTCCCCTCTCACCATTCCCCTTCCCCTCTTCCCCTTCTCCTTCCCCTTCCCCTTCCTTCCTTCTTCCTCCCTCGCCCCTTCCCCTTCCCCTCTCCCCCTCCCTTCCCCTTCCCCTTCCCCTCTCCCCCTCTCTCCCTCTTACCCTTCCCCTTCCCCTTCCCCTTCCCCTCTTCCCCTCTCCCCCTCCCTCGCCCCAGCCCTCGCGACAGCTTGACTGATGGCCGACCCAACCCCTCACCGTGTCGGTTTCCATCCCCTTTCTTCGAGATCTGATAAAAGTCATCAACAATTCGTCCAGCGTCCATCAGGCTTCGCGAGCTGAGCTTTTTGGAGGAGCAGCTCGTCGGGAAAACTCGATTGTCCTTTTTTTTTTTGTTTTTTTGTTGTTTTTTGTTTTAGGTTCGTTTTTTTAATTCTAAGCAGACATATCGCATGTATATATACACGTCGGGATATGTAGGTTTACGCAAAGACACACACAGGCACTCACACTCACACACACATACACACAACCACACGTACACGCACGTGCACACGCACGTGCACACGCACACGCACACGCACACGCACACGCACACACACACACACACACACACACACACACACACACACACACACACACACACACACACACACACACACACACACACACACTCATGTATGTATGTATGTATGTATACATACACATATATGTATATATACACATATATATACACATATATATACACATATATATACACATATATATACACATATATATATATACACATATATATACACATATATATATACACATATATATACACATATATATATACATAAGTTTAAATATAAGTTTAAATGTTTTTATATATTCCAGAAATTTTCGGTCAGATGTTATCTATTCCACTATTCCAGTTTCCTTCCATTAAGCCTTTATTAATATGTAAGACCTCCTCTTTAGCCAAGACCTTTCGCCTTTCCGTTGCTCTTTCAGGCTTCATTCTTTTCCCTATCAAACTCCCAAGTTAATCTAATTTCCTTTGCAACTACCTGCATGCTGGTACCAAGAGAGCCATTTCTCTCCCCTCAATTTCTTACCGTCTTTACTTCTCGCTCTTTCTGTCTGTCTGTCGGTAGTCTCTCCCTACCTCCCTCCTTCTCTCCCTCCTTCTCTCCCTCCTTCTCTCCCTCCTTCTCTCCCTCCTTCTCTCCCTCCTTCTCTCCCTCCTTCTCTCCCTCCTTCTCTCCCTCCTTCTCTCCCTCCCTTCAATAATTATATTTAGTTTTCCGAGAGAAAGAGAAAAAAAAGGAAAACAAAAGGAAAAACAAAAACAAATATTGGGAAACCTTTTTTTTCTCTTCTCATCTTTCAAGGAAAATAATTAGGAACTTCTCGTCTAATCATATGAAAAAAAAAATGATAAGACTCAAAATACTGTAAATGGATATGCGATTTGATCTTTATATATATATATGGTATTAATATAATATTGTTTGATCTAGTGACGGCTTTGATGACAACAACAAGATTAATGATAATAACAATTAAAAAGAAAAATGACTATGGTAATAATAATGATACTGATAGTAATGATAAGTCAAAACAATTACCATAAGAATAAGGGTAAGGGTAAGGGTAAGGGTAAGGATAAGGGTAAGGGTAAGGATAAGGATAAGGATAAGAATAATAGCAATGACAATAATAATAATGATAATGATGATGATGTTAGTGCTGTTTATAATGATAATGATAATAATAATAATAATGATAATTATAATTATGATTATAATAATAATAATAATAATAATAATAATAATAACAATTATAATTATAATAATAATAACAACATTGGTAATAACATTGGTAATAACAACAATAATAATAATAATATAAGTAAATGAAATATCACAATCACGATAATGGTTGAGACCTGCCACCATACTGACGCCGTCACTATGGTAACTGCTCAGTCGGATAATATTGAACGAATTCGAGAACTTTGCTGCACTAGGAATTTGATGAATGTAACTGATAAGATGTAATTTAATTTAATGGTAAGAACATTAATTTCATTCTCGTTGATTTTTTTGTAAGTTACACTAACACTTTCTCTCAAAATAACAATTTGAAAAATAATTTATGGTATATGATAAGAAAAAAAAATCAATTTTGAAACTGCGTGTGGTGTTTTCAATATCGCCTAAGGCACTAGGATACGTCACAATTCCTAGGAACGCACCATTAACAAAATTGCCAGAACTCTACGGAGATAAACCACGTTTTCATTTTACGGTGTTAAACTATTATATACTGTATGTGTTTGTATACATAAGGGGGAACTGCATTTTACTGAATCAAAAACTCGACCAATTCACTTTTACAAGACCAACCACTGCAGTCTGTCACTTCACAGTCACCTCACCCCTAAAATAATTATTATTTATGGTTAATAGGCCTAGAGATGTCATGCAGAGGCCTCGGGATTCATGAGTATAGCTACTTGTCACCTAAGCCGAGGACAGGATCTAATAGTGGTTAGTGTCGTTCTTATTCTGTGTTACTATTGCAGGTTTTTTGTGATGTTGGTGTTCAGCGTGTCATTACTATGATTAACAGATTTTTGTGATTATTTCTCGTTAATAGTTGGAATTCAGGATTGATATCATTATCGGTTATCAATGTTGTTCATATTATCACTGCTATATTTCTATTATTTCTGTTTTATATCTCTATCCTTACAATTTATTTACAATTTCAGCATTTCAGACATGTGATATGAAATACATTCACATGACATGAATATATATATTCATATGAAACAAGCTACTTACCCTGACACCTAAATGACACGCACACACACACACACACACACACACACACACACACAGCAAACACACACACATACACGGGCTGGGAGGCTGGGTCTATCCCTTTGTACAAATGCGAGCGACGTCCCCCTTCCTGTATCTTCTTCACGTTCACACTCAAACTTTTCTCCCTCGAAAAACTTTTTTTTTCCTCTCTCTCTCTCTTCTCGTCCTTTTCTTCCTTTTTTTAGTCGCTTTTTTATTTTCGTTTCTGTATTCCCAGACATTTCACGTTCTGTCAGCAGTGGTCAAGTTTGGGTTCCTTAGCCTTTGGGAATCGGCCTTATGTGACCTCTGGCCGTTGGATTGCCCGCGGGAATACAGGTTTTCGCTCCCTTTCTGGCACTTTTTTAGCTGTTTTCTTTTTCGTTGATTTTATTTTCTATTTCCGCCTCGGTTTTCTTTCTTGCCATGTGTATATATATATATATATATATATATATATATATATATATATATATATATATATATATATATATATATATATATATATATATTTCTATTGGTGTCGTTATTATTAGTATTATCTTTTTTTTCTTAATATTAATCTTCAGCTGCTAAAAGAGAGAGAGAAAAAAAAAGTTTCCCCTAATTTTAATCTCAAACTCCATTAATTTAGATAAATGAATTTCAAAAAGGCAAATCCTTGACGAAGCTTGCTTCGTTGACACCATGTTATCGTTGCAAACATCTTTAGGCGAAGAGAGGCGATTGCAGCCAAACTGCTTTATATATTTCACAGTCCTCACTGATAAATTTCTTTCGTTTACATATGCTTTGCAACTTTTGTTCTTGCAGTTTTCGGGGCGAATTGATACGCTTGCAAATGTTCTTGTGTGCCTTTTTGGCTGTTTTCATTTTCTTTTGGGAGAAAATGTCTTTCTTTCGTTTTCTGGTGCTGTATATTTTGAGTGTGTGTTAGCGTGTCCGTATAAATTGTGTATACTTGAATAATACGTACGAAAAGGAAAACGATATTGAACCTTATATATATATATATATATATATATATATATATATATATATATATATATATATATATATATATATATATTTATATATATATATATATATATATATATATATATATATATATATATATATATATATATATATATATATATGTATATATATATTTTATATCATCCACTGAATTGTTCAAAACTACCTTAACCGTATTTGAGATCAACTCACACAGTGAACCTGAGAAGTAAAATGAAAGAAGAAGAAGAAAGAAGAAAAGAAAAAAAGAAATAAAAGAAAAAGGGAAAGAAAGAAAGAAAAAAAAGAAAAAGGGAAAGAAAGAAAAAGAAAGAAAAAGAAAAGAGAAAAAAGAAGAATAAACGAAAATGAAAACAAAAAAAAATGAATATGGAAAATGTATCAGAATAATAATAATGACAATACTAAGAACATGATGAAGAAGAAAAAGAGGAATTTCCCACTGAGTGCCAACTTCCACCTCTTTCCCCTACCCCCCCCCCTCTTCGTCTCTTCCATCCAATTCGCTCATCGCCATTACAGCTCCCCCACCCCACCCCCCTCCCTCGCCCTAACACATCTCCAAACACTTGAAAAAAGGAGACGGAAAACGAAAAAATAAGAGAGGGAAAGGGAGAGGATAAAGAAGAGGGTGAGATAGATAGATGGACAGATAGATAGGGAGAGAGATTAAAGAAGAGAGACAGAGACAGAGACAGAGATAGAGATAGGGATAGAAATGGACACAGAGATATGAATAGACACAGAGACAGAGACAGAGACAGAGATTGAGATAGAGAGAGAGATTAAAGAAGAGAGAGAGAGAGAGGGGGGGGGGTGAGGGAGGGAGAGAGAGAGAGAGAAAGAGTTAGAGAGAGAGAGAGAGAGAGAGAGAGAGAGAGAGAGAGAGAGAGAGAGAGAGAGAGAGAGAGAGAGAGAGAGAGAGAGAGTATAGAAAAGAAAAAAAACAATAAAAAAAGAAGAGAAAATGAGAGAAAGAGACAAGGCAACAGACAGAAAACAGAGAAGGAGACAAGAAACACAGATTGAAGAAAAAAGAGAAAGATAATTAAAAAGAGAGAGAGAAAAAAAAGAAGAAGAAGAGAAAAAAAAGGCTTCCAGAGCGCGAGTTCACCTGTGTTGACCTTGCACGGTGAGTGGAGATCCGATTCGATTTATTTTCCCGACGAACACGCTCTCGCTCGCGTTTCGTCGTCGGCCAATGCCTCGCTGGATCCCGCCGCCCCGACACCATTTCGTCGCCGATGGAATTTCAGAATCGGGGGGGAAATCGGGGGGGGGGGGATCGGGGGAAATCGGGAGCCTCCTGATTTTGAGATGAGCGGCAGATTTTTTTTTTCTTTTTTTTTCTCTCTCTCTCCTTTTTTTTTGCCGTGAAGATCTTGTGTGTATGTGTGTGTGTGTGTGTGTGTGTGTGTGTGTGTGTGTGTGTGTGTGTGTGTGTGTGTGTGTGTGTGTCTGTGTGTGTGCGCGTGCGTGTGCGTGTGTGCGTGTGCGTGAGTGCGTGCGTGTGCGTGTCGTCTTTTGCACCGGATTTTTTTTCTCTCTCTCCTTCTTCTAATCAGGCTACGTGTCGACGAGCCTGACGGGCCTGACGCACCCGGTGTTGATTTTGCAACGGCCTTGATTTTCCTTCTCTCTTGTTTCTTCTTGTCCTCGCGGATCTTGAAGTCTTTTTTTTTTTAATGGAATGTCGAAGTGGAGTTTGCATTTACTCCTCCCTTCTCTCTCTCTCTCTCATTTATCTTATCCCTTTACATTCTCTTTTTATTCTTTATTTTATCTGTTTATCTTTTAATCTCAGTAACACAGGTTGAAGACTGACATGCTCTCTCATGGACACCAGCTAATATAATTACATAATTAGCTCAAGTTATTCGTTTTGCATCGTAGTAATTGGGGTTATTAGGTACGGTAACTGAAGAGAATACACGGAGGAAATTATTAATTCGGCCAAAGAAGAATGTAATTTTAATAACAGCTTTTCTTTTATTATTATTATGATTATCATTTCTTTTATGAAATACAATTTACGTTACTCGGCGAAACCAACATACATGCACACGCACTGATGCCCTTAAGCTTTACAAACAGGAAAAAACATTATTTATTTTTATTTTTATTTATTTTTATTTATTTATTTTTTTCAGGTAGAGTACGGAATTAAATGTGAGAAGCATATTTCATTTCTCACCAGTATGCTGAAAAGGGCTTTTCTTGGTTTGAGTATAAATTTGTATTTTTGCATTTTGTTAAATGGTCGTTTGTATTATGTTATACACTACCACCATAAGACATATATCTATATCTATACCTATATATATATCTATATATCTATATATCTATCTATCTATCTATCTATCTATCTATCTATCTATTTATATATATCTATATATATATATATCTATATCTATCTATCTATATCTATATCTATCTATCTATATCTATATCTATATCTATCTATATCTATATCTATCTATCATCTATCTATATATATCTAGGTAGAAAGATAGATAAACAAATAGATAGATAGATAGAGATATAGATGCAGATAAAAATAGATATATACGTAGATATTTAGTAGATATTAATATGGATAAATACGTCGACAGAGGATGGATACAAATATTGATATAGATATAAAATATAGATAGATAAATGGATAGATAGACTGACCGACAGATACACAGATAGAAAGATAGATAGTTAGGCAGACAGAGAAACAAACGGTTGGCTAGATAAATAGATAGATACACAAGGGAATGAACATGTACAGTTACCCATTTACACACAACTTAATAGAATATGGCAGAAGATACACACGCACACACACACATGAACACACGCACACACACACACACACAAACACACACAGAATATAAAACAAGTCCGTTGAGTACCACTGAGTGAATAAAAGATGAAACGAAGAAGTAGTTAGAAAAAAAAGTGAAGAAAAAAAATAAAAAGGATCATAGAGGAATGTAATAGAAAACAAACGAAAGAAAAACACAGAAAAGGAAAAAGGAAAAATAGTGAAAAGAGAAAACTAAATAAATACATAAACAGATAGATAAAATAAAAAACAATGGACATGGAAAAAAGGGGAGAAGGTAAACGAAGCAAGAAAAGGGATAAAAATAGAATGTAATAGAAAACAAATGAAAGAAAAAGACACCGAAAAGGAAAAAGGAAAAATAGTGAAAAGAGAAAACAAAATAAATAC